AACGTCTTTCCTACGCTGCCAGAACTGTCTTACACTTTGCCGTCATATAGGATGCCTTAACTAATGGATTCACTAGTCTATGCTAAAAAGCACTAAGGAATCATCTAAAAAGTATGATCCTTTCTACCCATGATGGTTACATGGTTTATGGAGACGTGAGTTATCTGAACTCAAATTTGTCCCCATATCAGTGCTCAATACTACTCCCAAAATACGCAGCTCATATGTTTAAAAACATATTTTTTTTCTTTGATTTGAGATAATTACTAAAAAATCTTTCTCTTAAAAGAGATGGTACTCAAACTGCTCAAAACTCTTTTGAAAATCTCAGTTCCCTCTCATCCTAAATGTGAAAACATTTACTCTTGGGAATACTTAGTTCCCATATATCATTTTCAAGAAAATGAACTTTACTCTTACTCTTTACTCAACTCAAATCTTAAGTCTTAAAATAAATTAAAACATTTGTAAAAGACTTCTTAAAATATGGTTCATGCGAAATTATGGACGTGAACGACTCAATGCAATATTTTCAATAACCATAGATAGAACTCAATACTTGGAACTCAAGAACTTCAATGATACTACTCACTTCAAGAATGCTCAACTCATATGGTTCATGCAGAATTATGAGCATGAACTACTTAACTCAAGGACTCAAAGATACTTCTCATATCCAGACTGCTCGACTGATAGGGTTCATGCGAAATTATGGATATAAATAACCCAACTCAAGGACTTCATTGGTAACATGTAATAGTCCCATGATTAGGAATATAATCTCAAATGGCTTAGAAACTCAATACTCAAAACTTAGGACATGAAGATACTACTCCTCTTATAGATGATCAATTTATGAAGTCCATGCGGAATTTATAGGGATGAACGACTCGACTTGAGGGTCGACATAACATTATGGTACTCATGTATATGACTCTTCTCATTATCATACTTACTTTCTCAAAACGTAACTCAAATCGATTATGGATCTCAAAGGATTCATAATTGAACTCAAAGGCTTTCTTGAACTCTACTCTTAACTCTCTCTTGAATGTGAATTCAAGAGTTATGATTCATGATATGAAGGATCTCATGCTGACAAAGTAGACTCATGAATACATTCTCCTCACTCTCATGCTCACTTACTTGAGTCTTGAAACAAGTTACTAGAAGTTGTAGAAGACTCCACAAAAGGACTCAAAGGGACTTTCTAGAATGTTTGAAAGAATTCTCAAAACTTAACTCTCAACTCTACCTTGAATTTGAATTATGAATTATGAATTATGAATTCAAGGTTATGATCATGTTAGGCATGATTTTAGGTGTTTAGAAGTATTTTAGAGTGTTTAGAATCAAAGGGGAGTAAAGGTACCCTTTGAAAGAACTCAAACGGACGTAAAGATGAAGAACGGGTAGGGGCAGGCGACCCTGATGCTCTGAGTGGTGTGGGGCACCAGCCCCTAAAGTTCAGAGAAGTAGTTGGGGCTCTCTAGCTGGCATGACATGCCAGGCCCCAACCCAGAAAACTTCGATGACTTTCTTTGCTTGTTTTCTCACCCTAACTCGCCTATAATCGAACGGTTTCTTCCCCAATCACTTGGATTCGATTACTTAACATAATTACACTCTAATATACTCAAATTACTAAATTTCATCTCAAGAAATCATCAAAACCCCAATACAACAAGATTTAGAAAGAACTTCAATAACACCTATTAAGAACTCATCAAGAACTCTAATCTTTCAACTTCAAGAATGAAATTTGCGCTAAAAATAACATGTTTGGCATGTGGGTGAAAAAACACAACACTATGGAAGCTTACATGCCTCTTAAGGATTGAACCCATGGCGAAAATCCGCAACAAAACGCAAGACTCTCGACGAGCGCTTTGATCCTCTCATCTTTTCTCCTCTTTTCTCTTCTTTTCTCTTCTTTTCTCTTCTTGAACTCTCAACTAAAACCCTAAGCGTATATTAGGATTATAAAACTGAACCTAATAGGATTAGACCCCTAAAACATTACTAAAAATGAAATAAATCTGATTGGGTAAGGAAAAGACCAAAATAGCCCTCTAAAAATCCGGTTTTGACTTTCCTTATCTAGACAACCCAACTTCTAATGGACATATCTCCCTCATACGAACTTGAAACTGAGCAAACTCCGCGGCATTGGAAAGATAATTAAAAGATATTTCCTATGGTATATGGTATCACACCTAACTCATCCTGAGCTATGAGTTATGGTCGTTTGAAGTCAACCCAAAACTCATACTAAGCTTAACTTGCAAAATTTCAGATTTTGCTATTTCCAATTTAGTTCTTTTTGGAACTCAAGGTGCTACATCTAGTGACTTGACCTTAATTCTTAAGAAAATTTTAATTCCTTGATAAAATCTCACTCACTACGAAGAACGATTCGAGTCTTAGTTCAATTTTTCTTTCTGGGGTGTTACAGAATCTATACTCGACTAGGTAAGATTTACTATATAGATATAAAAAGTAATATTTAACATATACATTGAGGTGGATGTAGCATTACGATATCGTGGGTTTATCTAAACCCTAAACATAAGTACTTTTGAGTTGGATCATAAATTTATAGGTAAGAATTAAATCTACTAAAATTACAAAAATAAGGGGTAATATTTTTAAAAATACAATAAGGTTATTACTAAAAATCACAAGGTTTATATTATTAGTTAGTTCTGAACTGATTTCCATATATGCATATAGGGGTGTTCACGATTTGGATAAAAACCGATCCAAACTGAAAAATTGAATCAAATCAATTTTTATTTGGGTTAGGTATGGTTTGGTTTTAGATTTTTAAAAACCGATAGAATATGGGTTGGTTATGATTTTGTTCGAAAAAAACCAAAAAAATTATCGAACCGAACCGACAAATTATAAACACATATTTTATTATTATACATACATAATAAATTATTTTTATAAATAATTTTAAAGATCTTGTTTTCATCAAAAAATTATTTATAATTTACTTATGAAAGATAAAATGTCCAAGGTGAGAGTATATTTATCTTATTGGTCTTATATATATGAATGTGTCTATGACAATTCTTTATAAGATTGAAAATATCAATGTCAGTTATTCTAACTATTTTCATTTTAAATGGATTGTTGTCACTTTTTTCACGTTTTGAATGAATTGTTTCTTTTATTTTTGTCTATGGTTAATAACCGAATAACCAAACCAAACCGAACCGAACCGAACCGAAACCAATAACAACCAAACCAATAAATATATATTATATTTAGTTTGATTTGGTTTTGATAATTTTAAAACCAATTAAGTTGATTTGATTTTGGTTTTAACCAATAACCGATTTAAACCGACCCGTAAATACCCTATATGCATATTATATAATTTTTCGGCAACTGACAACCCATAAACTTATGTACTGGATCCACTACTATGTACAATTCTTGAATTTTATTTTGTGTGCTGATACGGTAAAAAGATATTTATACTATTAGGTAACTAATTAAAGAACAAATGTAAGTAATTGTCTCTAATAAGTGTGTCTAGTATAATCTAAATAAATAAAATAATTAGTTATCTACTACCATAGGTTAAAACACATTAATATTAGGGGGGGGGGGAAGTCTCAAATATATCCAAACTTTGACCGAAATTGTTGTAACAATACCGAACTTTAGAACAGACCAACTTTGGTCGAAATTGTTGTTACGATACCAAACTTTATGGAGGACTATTTACTCACTGCACTATTTAATAGTGTATTTTAAAGGTATATATGTGCCCATGTGGACACATTACTATTTATAATGATGCAATATTTATAATGTCCACGTGGGCACATATATACCTTTAAAATACACTATTAAAAAGTGCAGGGGGGTAAAAGGTCCTCCATAAAGTTTGGTATTGTAACATCAATTTCGGCCAAAGTTAGAGTATTTTTCAAACTCTTTTCTCTTAATATTATATGAATAATAACCTCTCCGTATAGGCAGAGCAAGTAGGGCCAAGAAATCCATCCGAAGTCCTTTTCAGGAAAATAATTATATTGTAATAAAAATTTTGATTCCATCACTGTATATGACGAATAAATTCCGTGATTCTATTAGTATAATATTAGTATATGCTTATCTAGGTTGGATTATACATGGATGGTTAGTTGTGGACACTGTCATACAAAATTGCAGATCACAGAATTTGTGTGCATTTGCCTATATATGATAACGTCATGAATAAATTTTAAAATTCTAGGTTATCTATTCTTGTGCCCAATTGATGAAGTTTATTCCTTCTCTTATATATGACTAACTGAAGTTCACCAGTACTGTAAAGCTTGTTACTGGACAAACTTTCAAATCATGAAACAATAACTTCTATTACATAAAAAGACAATATGGTGCATCAAATATTTCGTGTTCACTCACGATATAGAATGTGATAGTAACAATCTATCATAATACTAACATTAATAACTGCTTTCACAGCTCAAGTCATAACCTGTAGGTTATACTCTACCGTTACTCCAAAGCTCCCTTCAGCTTAACAAAATTCTAAAATCAATTGAAATTTTCTAAAAAAATTCACCAATTAAGGTTCTCATGCAAATGGAAATATTAAAATAGCAAATTTATGTATGTTGCAAAACAACTTGTAGAATGTCTTGTTCTAAAATTAGATCTGAAAAAACCAGCATGCAGTTGGCCTTTCTGGAGCCAACTGGACAATTGGATTCAAATTTCACAGTTGAAAGACATAAAAATCAAAAGAAAGAATATATAAAAAAATAATTGTGGAAAAAAAATAGTAGTAGTAGTAGTAATTGTCAAATTATAAAAGGTCATTTCACATCATTAAAAGAAGATATATAGCTGGGCAGCATATATAAAATTACTGTTGGTCCATGCCTTTGAAAAGGAAAAAAAAAAAAACCATATAAACTCTTTTATTTTTCTCTCATACAGAGTCTTCTCTTTTCTCTTTCTTAGCTTCTTCTTCTTCTCTTCTTCTTCCTATTTATTTTAATAAATTGATTGATTGGTTAATGATGAAAAGCAAGTCCCTTTAGTTTGTATTTTTTTTCTCTATTGCTATTGAGTTTACCTCTTTTTCTTTCTTTTATTCATATCCACATCTTTTAATTTTCTTGTTTTAGCTTATTATTGCTATTCTAAAACATCACTATACAAAGATCTGGTGTTTTTGTACAATTCCTTTCAACAATTTCAATTTTCACATTACAAATTTTCAAGTCCTGTCAATTCTGTTTTTGTCAAACCAAAGAATTAAGGAGAAAAACTAATCTTATCATCATGAAGAGGTTCAGTTTCTCAGATTCTTCTGGCAAATTGCTTTATCCAACTGAAGGTAATTATTACACTATCAATATATATAAGTTAAATCCTTCTCTAGTTTAGGGCCGAGGCATTCAAAGCCCGCCTTAAACCTACAAATTTCATAAAATTCAGTAACTCTAGTTCAAACTTTGTATTTGTGTTAAAAGATTTATTCACAATACTACATATGAATATAGTCGGCGAATGTACACAAAAACTTATCTTTACCTTTGAGGCTAGGAAAGCTGTTTTCGATGGACCCTCGAATCTTACAAGAAAATATGATAGCAAATAACAGGATATAAAGTAAATGAAGCAACAAATAGTAATACACGATTAAGTCCAATGAACTTCTAATAGGACTGACTGATCATTATTTTCTTTCATTTTTGTGTGTATTACATTGCAGAGAAAAATACAGAGAATTTGGGATATAGCAATGAATTTCAGGCAATGTTGGATGGATTGGAAGATGAAGATGGGATAGAAGAAAGTGGATGTGGAACAGGGAAGAAAAGGAGGTTAAGAGTGGATCAAGTTCAAGCACTGGAGAAAATTTTCGAAGTTGATAACAAACTTGATCCAGATAGAAAAGTAAAAATTGCACAAGAAATAGGCCTGCAACCAAGACAAATTGCAATTTGGTTCCAAAATCGCCGCGCCCGTTGGAAGACTAAGCAATTAGAAAGAGATTATAACATTCTCAAGTCCAATTATGAAGCTCTTCAACATAATTACACCAAAGTTGAACATGAAAAAGAAGGCTTGATTACTGAGGTAATTATAAATCTTCCACATTTCCTTATCTAATACTCCCTCCGTCTATTTTTACTTGTCCAGTAGTGTGAGTTCAGTCATTTATGTTTGTGCACAATGATGTTTTATGTACCGGATTTTTTAGCTGACACTATGATTGTGGTTATTATCGAAATTGCAGTTAAAAGGACTGAAAGAGAAGCTAGGAGAGGAAACATTATTATCCCCTGTATTTCAAAGGCCACAAGAAATTCTGAATAAGTTGAAGAATTCATCAGATTTTGTGGATTCAAAAGATGGATCATCAGATAGTGATTCAAGTGGAGTGATGAATGAAGAAAATTACAACATTTCAACACTCAAATATCAACAATTAATGCCTAAAGTGTCATCTTACAATAATGCCTTGGATCATTTGTCATTATCTTCATCAACATACACACAGTTAATGGATCCAAGGGCAAGTAATTCTACATCATCAATGAGAGCTTTTAATAATAGTAATAATCAGCAGCAGCAACAAGGTGTTGGGAGAATTGAGGAGCAAAATGGTTTTACAACAGAGGATTCTTGTAACATTTACTCTGTTGATCAAGCACCAAATCTTTATTGGTACTTTAGTGACCATAGAAATTAGCTTTTATATAAGTTAGTAATTGTCATCAATTTTAAATAACATGTAGCCTAAGTATTTGAAGCATCAAGAAGCTATTTGTGTGTTTTTTTACAACCTTAGTCATAGGCATTACAATATAAGTTTATAGATGTTATTTACTTAAAGAGATTAAAAAAGTAAAAATAAAGAAGAAAGGATTGATCACAAGACTTTCACCTATTACCTATCTAAAGAATTGTTAGCCGGAACAAAGACGAATTCAGAATTTAAATTTCATGAGGTTAATTTTTAAATAAATGAAATGGATTCAAATCTACTATTTCACAAGCATTAGGTTAATAGGAACCTGGCGAAAATTTTAGTTTGTTCAATAATTAAAGTTCTCGCAACTAATTGGTCACTCAACTAAGAACATTGAGTGACTTTCTGAAAGAAGAACCATAAGCGTTATAAGTGTTATGAAAAGGGGGATAGAATAAGATTAAATTAACAGTGTTATGTGAATAAATATACACATCAATATGTATGGTTGGGGGCCAATATGTCTATAAAATAGAAAAGTTTGTTTTGCATGATCATGTCATGTAGTCACTTTTGGTTGCATAGGCTACGTAGTCATTTGGGCACCCATGTGTGAGATGGTGACTTTTACTTGGAATTATAAGCACTGGTGCTTCTGCTTTAGTCACTGTCTTCCAGAAAATGACTTCACTATACGCCAAGTTTTCATTTATACATCCATCTATTGTACAACAAAAATTGACTACATATGATGTAATCACATTTTGATAGAACCATTTAGAACGACACACGTCAGCACCACAAAAAACAGGATTTTTAAATAATTAAAATTATTAATTACATGTAATAGGATTAAATAATAAACTCAACGTTTTGTAATTATCTTAAATTCGAAATCAAAATATTAAATTTATTTATTAAAGAATTACTTAAAATTAACGTGATATAATCATTTTATAATTTTCAAAATTTATATAAGATAATAACTAAAAACTTTAACTATCTAAATCTGAAAAACCAAAAATAAAAATTGCAGAACATGAGTGTGATTATTAATTTTAATTTTTTTTTTAAAAAAAAAAAACACTCAAGTGGTGTATAATAATTAGTACGTACTATATATTTCTTTATTCCATGAATGAAATAGAAGCTCAACTGATAATAATATACTAGTATAATCTCTCACTCAGCCTCAAAGAAAACCAATAAAGAAAAGAAGTGCTTAACAATTTGATATCTAGTGATTTTGTGTAATTTTTAAGGGGTCTATTGCTAAAAAAAAATTACTAAGTACTATTTTCTCATTGAATTTCCTGTCAGAAAAAAGTTCAATGGCTATTTTCATTGAATCGGTGAGAAAGAAATTTCATATTTGAAACATTAGGAAGTTTTCCATTATTTTCAGTAAAAATCTATTTTGCTTCATGCATTTTCCTAGTAAGTTGATTCAGTGGGAAAATTATATTCTATAACACAAATTTTTCATTAATTTGCGATGGGAAAAACCTTTATTTTCTAGTATTAATTTTGTCCGATAACCGATTAGAAGCTAAATTATTTATGAGTCAAAATCTGCATAAGTAATATCATTTTGGTAACTTGATATCTGCAAGTAAAATTCTTTAAAATATGATATTTGTAATTTTATAAATAAGATAATTAACTATTACAACAAATAAAGATGAACCGATACATAAAAGTTTAGGACACTCATAATTTATGAAGAACTTAAACTCAGTTTTAATTTATTAGTATATTTAAAATGGGGTTGGTGCATGGCTGTTGGGTGCCTATCAAACCCCATGTGGTGGGTAAGAAGTAGACCATGACACATACAATCAAGTTGATGAAAAGCTATAAACCTTAGCTTATACATTAGCTTCTTGCCTTTGAAAAGGTAGATGTTTTTTTCTCCCCACACAAATTAATAAATGGAGTTAGGAACACTATAAACTGAACAATATTAATACTCAAAAAGTCTCTTGGATTTTCAGAGGTCACATGTCACATAATAAAAGGGTCATGATTTCAAAGTGAAAAATGATAAAAATTGAAATTGTGTTTGATTGGGAATAAAAATTGGAATTGTATTTAATTTTTAGGAATTCATTTTCCAAAATTTTAATGCAAACTTTGATCTCTTTCCCTTTTCTCTTTTAATTTTTATTCCTTAATATTGAAAATGTTCTTCTGTTTAATTGCTGTTAAATTACAGATGAGTAAGAAAAGTAATGAATTAATATCTCAAGTGGTCACTCAACTATGAATTCTTTTCTCAGAAAGTCACACAACTTTGGTTTTTAACTCAAAAGTCACTCAACTATGAATTATTTTCTCAGAAAAGTCACTCAACTACAGATTTTTTTCTCAAAAAGTCATTTAACTTTGAATTTTAACTCAAAAGTCACTCAATTATGAGTGTTTTACTTACAAAGTTAATCAACCATAAATATTTTACTTACAAAGTCACTCAATCTATTCAATTATTTTTTTTAATTAAAATTTACTTTAATGAAATTTTTATTCCTAAGCAAAAAAAAAAAATTTAAAAAAGTATACCAATTTGTAACTGCCAATTATACTATGCTTAAAAATATCCAATATCACCGTCAATATACTATACTTAATTATTTTTTAAAAACTGGAACAATGTTCTTATAAATACGTGTTAAACATAGTGTAGAAAATAATCATAAAACTCATGGAAAGGTTCTTAAAATAATTAATGCTAACTATTATATTTGGGGGAAAAGGTAAAATAAAAGGATCACTATTATATTTTTAGTGGATCGAATCAAGTAGGTGGGTCATCTTTTACAATTTTAGTTAGAAATAAAAATTTCATGTAAGTAAATTTTAAATTAAAAAAATTAATTAAATAGGTTGAGTGACTTGCTGAGAAAAGAAATCATAGTTGAGTGATTTTTGAGTTAAAAATCAAAGTTGAGTGACTTTTTGAGAAAAAAATCAATAGTTGAGTGACTTTTGAGTTAACAACCAAAGTTGAGTGATTTTCTGATAAAAGAATCAATAGTTGAGTGACCATCTGAGATATTACCTCGAAAAGTAATGGGAAAAGACAGAGAATATAATGAGCAATGAAATATAATCAACTCTTTTAATCATCTTGAATTTGAGTAATTTTTTTGTTTCAAATTGTTTCGTAGGAGATTTTGTGGTTATGATTCTAATTGTTTTGAAAGGTGGCACTCCATCTCAATTATAAATGTATCTTTTAGGTACGTAGATCATAAAATAGGTTGTTGAAGGTCCGTTAACTAATAAAAGTGTGTTTTTTTATAATAGTTTAATCTTTTAGATGATATGATCACACACTTTAACATGATATCAAAGCAGATAATATTTAAATTTTTAGATGAGATGCTCACATAATTTAACCGAGTGCAATATTTAAAACCAAATTCAAAACGAAGGACGAATTTTGTTCTGTTTTCTACTGTTAAAGGGTAAATCCGAGTCAATCCTCTAAGAATAATAAAGACATATTCAAATAGAAAAACAAAGATTTATTCTAGTGTGGTAATTATTTTTTGATCATTTCCTTTAATTTAAAAGTAAATTGGTCCATGAAAGGAAAAGTAAGGAACCAAAAGAGCAATTTGTAAAAGGAGTAGGAAGTGATTTTTTTCTTCTGTTTAAAGTTGGGTTGCCAAAAATCAAAGGGCCCAAAGGCCAAGAAGGAGAGTCACTTTCATGGCATCCAATTTCAGTGGGAAAAAGACACCCTAAAGCGGCGGTCGGTGGTCACTCAAAAATAGGCCCACTACTCATCACGACTTTACCTTCACTTAAACTGTTCACTTACCCTTCTCTTTCACTTCACATTAATTTGGACGGAATCCAAATACCATTCGCCACTGGCCACACCGCACACGCGAGTTGTTACCTGATTATTTGATGAATTTTCAAATATATTGTGTACGTATCCACGTTATACTTCAATTTCGTCTATCAACTCTGAAATCTTAATAACTTAGTTAATTGACTATTGAACTTCCCTTATTTTCCCTTCCCCCAACCCCAATTTTTTTTTAAAAAAAGAAGTAACTGAATCGCATAGAGGTAAATTTAATTCTATTTTATATTAAAATAATAATAATTCATTTTATATATGCAGTGTAATTTTATTGAGATGGGTTCAGATAAATTACCTTGCTTCACCAAGTGAAATTAATTTCTGATTTGTCATTGACATTAACAAGGTAAATTAACATTCTTTTAACTCATTTGCGACATTTAATTGAATACAAGTCACTCTTCAATACTCACGTTATCCCTAATTACTTGACCACTTTTTCATTTTTAGTTGTCCCTAATTACTTGTCCATTTTGACAAATCAAGAAAAGACAATTTTTTAATCTATTATACCCTCAATTAATTACTTTTAAAAGGTAGAACTTTTTCAAAAACTTAAGTTTTTAATTCATTCACTTCATAATTAATAGGGGTAAAATGATAAACTCACTATATCAATAATTGTTTTCTTAATAGGTATGTCAATTCAAAAGTGGACAACTAATTAGGGACAATCGAGTAATAATTACAAGTATCAGCACTTTTTAGGGGCTGGATTGTCAAGAGTTCATTATTAGTCATTACCGTAACCTAATTATTTGGTTAAATCGAGTTTTAAAATTTTCTATAACAATTGCACGTACTTAAGTCTTAAAGTAGTTGAAATTTGGACTTAATTAGCAACACTTTGTCTATTCTATTATCTATCACATATAAATTCTCGCCTAACGTTACGTAAAGTCATATATTCATGCAATGTTCATGTAAATTTTTTTTAAAAAACTTTTTTTTTTGAATTTTTTTGAAGAGAGAGACTCTAATAAACAATTATACTTGCAAAAAGCCTAATTCACGTGATATGAATATCCTGGCTTAACAAATTGAGCTTATAGTAAACAATTATTAGTCGGAGCAAGAATTACTAGGAAAATGAAGGAAACGATTCTGCACATCATTTTATTTTGTGATTTAAAAATGAGAAATATAATACTTCTTTTAGTTCATTTGTTTTGTTTTGCATACTCAATAAAAATATTAACTACAGAATAAATAAACTAATTTAACTTTATTTATTACTTCTCTCAATTTAATACTCAACCAACTGATGTACCGTAGAAAAGGCTTTCAACGAATGCATATAATATAAAGCCTAAACTTTTTTTAAAAATAAATTGTTTTATTCAAGCTTTGTTAACTAATTACTATAAGAAGTCGTTTTGTGTGAGGTATAAAGTATAATAATATTAGAATAAAATATAGGATTATTTTATCTTATGTTTGGTTAGAGAAATTAGGTCATTCTTGGATTATTTATTCCACCATTTTTACCTTAGTGATATGATAAGTTATTCCATGCATATACATAGTGGAATAACTTATCATGAAATAAATAATCTCGGGATAACTTATTCATAACCAAATGACCCTACGAGAAAAAAAAAGCTTTTCGAACTTGGCAAATTATAATTTTCCTTCTGGCTCCATCAATGGTAATATACAGTGTAGAAGAAATTAAAGAGCAAAATATCATAATACAATATAACCTTTATTATTCCATTTTTCAAAAAGCACTCTACAGTTCTCTCTTTTATTTTTCTCCCTGGTCTGATTCCCAATAGAACTACTGTATAAATTATAATTTAATTTGAAAAGACATACTTTGCCAGAATTTCTCTCTTTTTGACTAATGCTCTTGACAGTGTTTCACTTTTTTGCGTATTGCCATAACATATTAATGTAACAGACTTTCAAATTTGTTTTCGACTAACAAGTAAGAGTATTTTAACTTTTAATGTGCAATACTTCAACTCATCTCCAACTTACAAAATAACCATCTAGACACCTCTTAAATTCATGTGCTACATCAGTGTCAAGTGTTTACGAGACTCAGTAAGAATGTGTTGGAGAGTTCAGTTACTGTTGATATCATATTAAGTTAAAACGTTTATATATGCACTCTCAAAATTGAAATGTTTATTTGAGTGTATGCTATGTATTATGTCTTTTGTATTTCTGACAATTTATTCCTGAGAACGGTAAGCAATCAACACACGTTGTTTCCAATTTTGTCTTACTTTTTTTTTTTTGCGCAACGTACATAATAATAAATAATACAAACCGAAATTTATAATGCTTGAGCAGTGATGTGACACTATCCATTAGTTTGAAATAGTTTATCATGCGGTCATTAGTATTACAATCCTTTGAAAGTTTATTAAACATAGTTTCTATAATGTCTACTCAAGAAGCATCGATGTCAAACATCGAATAAACTATCAAAATATTGAATTTATCAAAACACATGCAGGTTAATAATTCTGTTTTGCTCTCTAAAGTTGTGCTTCACGATTGAATTGTCCAGACTCATTAACAATCTGCATTTAGAGATAATTGGGTTATTGATATATAATTAAATGCCCTATTACTTAATTCAGTGGAGCTAGATATTATTTTGTTTGAGGAATCTATATATTATTTTATATTAATAATTTTTGCATATCTTGCTTTCAAACCCATCAACCCTTTAGATCATTGTAGTTTGAAATTATTAATGAATGATCACTCATATTCTTTTGTTTTATCGTGCATTGGTCATATAGGAACCTTCTTATTTATTGTTAATTGAAATTGATATACTAAAAGTATCATTAATTATTTATAAGATATATATTTTGTTCATTTCTTAATTTGTTATGTTAGGGTCAAACTGACATTCAATTGATTTGGGTGTGAAACATGTGTTTCATGAAGGCAAAAAAACACAAATATAATAAAATCTTTACTTTTAATTATATGAAGTAGATCGAGATCGATGTTGACGTTTTCTTCTAAATTCACATGTACCAGAGTCAATAATAAAATCTCTGCAATGTGAACTGAGTTATTCAAAAGAAAATACTTTAGCTTTTCTTGTTTGTTTTTTTCCCAAAAGTTTTTCAGTGAATTGCATTCCAATTCATTTGTTTACGTCTGGATTTGAGGTGCATTTTGTTGGTGACATGCATTCATGACCAGACATAATTTAAAAATAGGATTCGAATCATGCTGATTTTGAGCTGATAGATTAAGGGGTCGTTTGATAGGTGCTTTAGAGGTGAGTTATATAGGTATTAAATCCTGCATAAGTTACGTATAACATTAATATGATGTTTTATTTATAATTTGAAAACCCGCATAACCAATTAATGTATGTTTAAGTTATGAGAGAATCTATGTATAATTTAATACATGATAGATCTTTGTATAATTAATACTTACATAAAATAATACTCCCTCCATTCTATATTAATTGAATTTTTGAGGCATTTTTCATTTTTCAAATTAACTTAATTGTTCAGTTTTCAAGACTACTTTTAGAGTGTTCTTCCAATTTTACCCTTCATTTGGATTTTCAATGTGATGACTTCAATAAATTTGACAATAATTAATAAGGGTAAAAATGGAAAATTATGTTCAATTTATGTCTTAATCTACTTTTCTTAAAGGGTGTGAAACACCTCAAAAATTCAATTAATATGGAATGGAGGGAGTATATAGATTCCCTCATAACTAATTCCTACATTATAAATATGAGTCCGGAGCCTAAAGGGCAAAAAAAATGGTCAAAAATTCCAAAAAGGCACATCACTTTTTATTCTAACCAAAAGGGTAAAATTGCTACGTCAGCAGCGATTTTCCTCTGACAAAATGACAAAATCGCTGCCCTAGTAGCGATTTCGTCTAAAAAAAAATTTTTTTTTTTTATTAAAAATCGCTGCTGTGGCAGCGATTTTGTTTTTTTAATTATTATTAAAAATCGCTGCATTGTAAAAAATTTTTTTTTTTTTTTTGCAGTGGCAGCGATTTTAAGTCAGAATTTTTTTTTTCCTTACACATCGCTGCAGGGGCAGCGTTTTTCATGCCGAGTGCTATTATTTTCATGCCTATTATTACTTATTAATAATATAAAAATGATAAACAAGACGACAGTATACTCAATAAAATTGTTGAAG